TTAGTTATCTCTGGAATGATGTAAAAACGAGCGTTCTTGCTCATTTTGCTTCCGAGAAACATGCAAAACAGGACGGAAAACATGAAATTTTGCAATTATCTTGCGCCACCCTTGCACAAAACGACGATAATTTTCCTAATTTCATAGACAACAGAAGACTGTATTTTTTTTACATAACCCCCCCCCCATGACTTTAAAGCTGCATCCGCCCCTGCAGTTGTTTGGCTCAATTTATTCCAATACTTGTGCATCGGAGCCTCAAAGATAACGGGGCACAAATTGCGATCGATTATGCAACGGAACCACGTGCAGGCACCATCGTGAACCGGGCGAAAACAATCCAGCGGGCTCATTATTGCAACAAATGCTTCATAGAGCAGAACCGAACCATCATCATCAGCAATACCCCATTACCTCACGTAATTATGACGCATAAACCCGATGAAGCATTCAAGCGTTCCACTGATCAGGGTGTAGGGAAATTGATCTACTTCTTAGACACACCCGGTAAGGTGGTTGGGCCATTCGGGCCCCGTTGGAAGGCGTTCGGCTGCTTTCGTTGCGTGGCCAGGGGTGAGCGCGACTTGCGTTCGGGTGGCGGAAAGGTCGTCCTTGTCCCACCCGGCCGGGTTACGAGGGTGATCGCGAAATTTGCTCAGAGGGACGGCCAAACGATGATTGCCTGCCTAGTGCACAGGGCATTAAACATCGATTTGGTTGGTTTAATCAAGCGAGCGGAATGTGCATGGCACAAAAACTGTGCTATCATGTCACTTGGTATGCAAATGGCGCTGGCCTAGCAGTACTGTTAGTGCCGTAATCTTCAAAAATAAACTACGACGCAAAGAGTTAGATGGCAAATGAATCCGCTTTGAATGTTAATCCATGCCGATTTTTCGACGGCCTTTTATGGCAGGCGATCGTCACATGGAAATTTGTCTTTGCATAGGAAGTGTTCTCTATTTAAATTGCGCACATACGGGCTATTAGCGTTATGAGACAGGCGAGGAGTTCTATATTGTTGAGGCGGATTCATTTGTTCGCAAACTGTTTGTTGGGGATTTCGCCTCAAAAATGTTTGTCTTTAAAAAAGACAGAATTTTGATGAAATTGAAATTCTGTCTTTTTTAAAGACAAAAATTTTTGAGGCGAAATACCCAACAAACAGTTTGTGAAAAAAAGACTGGCTTGGACAGCAGTCAATACGTGGCAAAGTGATTAAAATGTTATAAATGCGCATCAAAAAGCCTTTTCCCGTTCTCATGCCGCACGAGGAAAAGTTTTTTGATGCGCATTTATAGTTCACAGCTAGCCAGGCATTTATAATCACTTTGCCGGGTATTGACTGCTCTTCGGGCCAGGCTGGTGCTTTCATTTGCCTGTCTATTTTGATGTCAAAGTCGGCTAATTATAAATGCCGATAACTATAGAAACTGAGAACAATTAGGACGAAATTGCGCTTGATGGCATTTCAAGTCGGCTGGCGAATGCCAAATGGCATTGCAATGCTCTTTCCACGGAGAAATTAACGAGGATCCGACTAAGTGTAATATAAACGAAAAACGGTTCGCCTAAGCAATTGTCCATCATCTAGTGCAAAATTATCATTGGCATTGCATGGCGTTGCCGTAACACCATTGATCCGTCCACATTACCACTACGCTTCCATTGTTCGGCCACAGCACTTTTATCTGCCTTCGGATCGGATTTTCGTTTCGTAACAGCTGGAGAAGAAAAAAACATGTTGCCGCAAACGATACCAGAACAGAATCCCACCGCGTGCTACCTGTTTTGGAACAATGAAACTGATCCGAATATTGCGATCTCTGTGTAATTAGTTGGACCAGTTGGTTTCTCCAAATCGTCCCAAGCGTCTCTAACTCATGCACCTTTGGAGGGATTGGAGCGATTTTCGAACATTTCAAAAGTTTTCCTAACTAACGCTTGGACCGTTTTTCTCCACCAACCAATTTTTGTTTCTAGCGGGATTTCAGTACACGCCGGTGAAAGGGTGAAAGTAACGTTTCTTCTCCAACGCTCTCCTTTATCATACATTCACAATGGAAACCGTCCAAAGTTTGGAGTGTTTGCGAACCCAAACCAACCCAAACTGAATGAAATTGCACTTCTATTAGGATTAATTATTCGGTTAATTGGCAGTTTAATTGCCCGCTCCCCAACATAGATCACATTAATTCAAGTTATTAAATCGTTTGCATTCGACTCAACCGGTAATTAGTCTCCACATTTACAACAAGCAAAATTAATTAATCCTCTGGAGCTGGTTGGACTTGGAACGGTTGATAACAGCGGCTTTACTAATGCTATCGAAAACGCGATTGTTAATAAACCAAACAAATCGACTTTAATGTGGCGCAAAAATGCCTCGATGGTATGAATGGCACCTTGGCCAAGGCGGCTTTGCGCTATGTGGGCATTGAGCGTTATGCAAATTGTTATGATTAATACTTATCGGTTTCCAATTATTATTACGACTGGTTTTTGTTGTTCATTTTTTCGGTGCGGCACTTTTGTTTTCGGCTGGCAAATTAATTGAAACAGGATTACATTATCGTCTATTCAATTGGCGATTGATCGGAAACGGCGCCCAATCATTAGCAGCAATTGTTTGTTTAGAATCTGAGCGCCTTTACAAGGTTGGCACCGCACAATAACAAATTCTGCCGGTAAAAACGCGCGCGCATTCGCCATAGCATACAGAAAGGAAAGATTTTGGACAATTTGGTGCATGTTTGAGTCCACGTTCCATCAAGCACCCGCAAAGAATTGGTCACCCTAGACGACATTATCAAGCAGCTGAAGCTGAATTCCTGCAATGACTAATCAAACAGCGACGAGCTGATAAACAATCTTGGATATTGTTTACAGCCTGGATGATAAGATAAAGCGGTGGCTTTACGGGCCTCATCTTGTGGATGATGTCGACTAGATGAGCTTTGTTTTCAAAAGTTTTACGCGTAACGCCTAGGCAATCGAGCAAATACGTAATTTTTGGGCGTGAAGTGTTTTTAAGAGCCTTTTTAGGTGAATTGCATCGCGCGACTTGGCAATATCTTGATGTAGTATGGGATTTCTGGACGGTTTGTTTAGCAAGGTGCGCCAATAGAAACAGCGATAAGATTATTTGGAAGTTGTTCAACGCGAAGAAGTCGGGAAACCGGTTTTCCCTGCTTTGTCGCAGTTTGGCAGGTTTCTAACAGGGAAATTATGCACTTTTTTGCTTTTTTCAGAAGGCGAAAGCAGCCAAGTCGGATAAGGCCCGGAAACCGCCAACTGATGTTAGCAGGTAAATGCTTATTTTTGAACCTTTGTAGGTGTTAAAAACATTTTCAATTGTGTAGGTACTTGATTTGCCTTGTTAACAATTCAAAAGAAATTAAAACAAATAACAATAAAATATAAAATTGACTGGAACCCAGGAATTTCTTTTGAATTAAGTTGAAATACAGTCAGGAAAATATACACTTGTTAACAATTGAACTGAACCCTTTTGCGATGTTGTTAGCAAACCACTTAAAAAATTTCCTGGTAAATGCCACGAAAAAAACCTCAACAAGGTGTGGGTTTTTCACTCATTGTATACACTTAGGTCTTCAGGATGTCACGCAAATTGCTTAACTCGTGGGGGTATAGCTCAGTGGTAGAGCATTCGACTGCAGATCGAGAGGTCCCCGGTTCAAACCCGGGTGCCCCCTTTCTACTTTTTTTTACTTTTTAAAAACTTTTTACTAGTTTTTTCCGATTTGCTTTTTCAGGCCTGCGAATTCGACCAGGGCGGCGACGTTTTACGCGGGCCTTGACCCATCAACCAAAAACAAAAGAAGTAAAGTTACCGATGCGACTCGAAGGGTTGACAACAATGCCAACATTGCCCTGCAAACTCAGCGGCCAGGCAGCCTGAGAAGGAGAGGGAAGGAAAATGTTGGCGGGGATGTTGCCGTTGCCAGCTTGCACCCGAAAGCTGTAACTTACAGGAAGGAAAGTGACCCATCGAAGGAAAAGGTATGGGCGGGAAACAAGCGACAATCCGACTGCGCGTTTTTACATGTCGCTTCTCTATTCCAGGCTCAATCCTCCACTCTGTCGCTCAATAACCTGTTGCCACATCAACCAAAAACCGCTCAAAACCAAAGCAGCAAACCAAAGAGACCCACAACTGTTCCAAATCAGGTTTTTCTAAAACGGTAAGTTTCCGGGGGTTGAGAGTTTCGATTTTTCCGGCCATCTTCAAGTCTGCAATAGATCCGCATCTGCGTACTCTTTTTTATCTCTTATCGAATTATTACAATTCGCTTACCGGCCAGCGCCGCCTAAACGAATGGAGAGCAGAATCGAGGCTGCGTTGCCGCTTCAATTACTTGTTCCCAAGAGTGCATCCGTTTGAAGGATGGTACGATAATTAGACAGTATTTCTATTGGTTGGAGGCAAGAGCGGATCCAGGGGGGGTCATGGGGGTTACGACTGAATCGAGTTTTCCATTCTCTATCCAACGATGCCAAAACGAATTGTGTGGCTCGAATGGTTCTTGAGAAACTTCGAAAAAAGCAGCGTCATTTTCAAGTGGATTTTGCAACTCAAAAAAAACCACGCAAATCACAAACTTCTTGAATTCAAGCCTTTTTTGAGAAAACTGCCAACTTTTCCCCATCCATGGTTCACTTTCTAAAAAGGCCATTGATTTCTGTCTAGAATGATGTACAAATGAGCGTTCTTGCTCATTTTGCTTCCGAGAAACATGCAAAACGGGACGAAAAACATGAAATTTTGCAATAATCTTGCGCCACCCTTGCACAAAACGACGATCAATTTTCTAATTTCATAGATAACAGAAGACTGTATTTTTTCTACATAACCCCCCCCCTGACTTTATAGCTGGATCCGCCCCTGGTTGGAGATCTGTCAATTCGTCCGCCGTCGTACGAACTGACAGATACGTACGTATATATATATACGAACTGACAATAGAAATACTGTCGAATCATCGTACCATCCTATAAAAGACTTTGTAACAGTGGAATTCTTCCCAACGAAAACTCGTTGAAAACGACGCGCATTTTAGTCCAGACGGTTCACAAAAAGCGGCAACAAGGCCGAACTCCACAAGGTGGTTGGTTGGTTGTCGTGCTTTGTGTGTCGCCGAGAGAAACCAGTCAGCAACTTATTCGGTTGTGTTCAGTGTCTGGTCGGGTAAATGTTCGACGTTTCGTTTTCGCCAAATTTTCGGTCAAAAATTGGCCAAAAATCGCGCAAACAAGTTGCTCCTTGAATGGCGCTCGTGCAGTGCTGAGTCGATGCCCTCTGGATTTTTGGACGGTTTCGGCGGTTTTTTTAGGTTAGCTCGCAACATCGCGTCGTGTCTGTTCGCCCCCCGAGTTTATTTTCCCTCAAACTGTTCTGTGAAAGTGTTGAGTGTATTCTTAAGGCTCGAGAACGGTACCAAAGGCCTTCGATAAATCCGCTGTTCAGTTTGTTTTTGTTTGATTCAAAAGTCAATCAAGCCGAGTCGAGCCTCAACGGAGGATGAGGCGGTTTTGGATTTTAGGCACTCAAAAAAACCTCATTATCGAAACCTGTTTGTCGAAACCACGTTGATTGGGTTTAAATTGGCGCGGTTTGATGTCACGTCGTCAATCGCAATGAACCGATATACGGGGGGTAGTTGCAAGTATTCAACAATAAAACTGAGATATTTTTAACGAAATGTAAACAATGGCCTGATTATCAGCATATCAGTGTGATGGCACCAGTCGGCGGAAAATCGCTTTTTAATGGCCCCGCAAGTAAAGAAAACGGATAAAATCGGCTCTGACCCAGAAACGTTTAATGTCTGCAAGTAATTACACTTGACTGCAACGTGAAGTTCATCTTTACCAGCGCCGATTTCTTAAATGCCTACACTAGAAAGCTCGTCTTTCATTGCAGTTTCAAACGTACACGCTTGAACACGAGCTCAGAAAGATTTTTCAAGTTTTAATGCCAAACATGTACCGTACCGGGTAGTGCCTACTCTTAGTGTGGGTTAGTTTTCGTTTTCACCCTGTACATGCGCCTGGATGGGCATTGGCTAGTTCATCTACCGATAGGGGCGCTGTCAAACGTCAAGTTACTGGCTGTCGAGTGACAGTTGCCACTTGTCACACTTGTACATTTATTGGAGTTGATGACATTTGTAACATAAAACAATACTTGGACAGTCTAAGATCTGATTTCTTTAAAAGCTCGCAAAAACTTGATTAGATCAAACCAAATCACAATCAGATGTCAACGAACAAGTGTCAAATTACTACTTAACTGGTAGTTGCAATTTTAGCCCCCCGGGGGGCGTCTGGACTTTTGAACTCGCGAATAACCGTTTTGTCATCTTGACATTCAACAGTCGTTTTGCAAAGCAAATAGACATTTGTATGTCAATATTTGCCCAACCAATCGCGGCTGTTCTTTGCCTAATCGGGTCTGATTGTTGTCTGGATGCTCGTTGATTGAAATTGGGCCTGATTTGCTTGCAATACAGGGTGTTTGGTGAAAAATCTTCGGTTGTTTAATGAGGCTTAGGCTTGGGCGCTTTTGGCCAATTTCTTTGTCGCGATACGCCACTGGTCGACTCTAATGTATAAAATCGAATAAGAGAAGCGATGGTTCAACTATCAACTAATTCACTCGTTAGTAGCCAAATTCGTGAAAACAAATCGATTGAGCTCAAAAAACCCGCATGTGAAATTCTGATTTTTGGCCGACATTTTTTTACAAAATGAAGATATTCTCAAAATGCCTTGATTTTACATTATTTTCAGCTCACGGACGCGAGAAATGCATCGAACTCATTGAAAAACATACTAGAAGTTTCAGATCCGAAATAATCGACATTTTCGGCACATTTTAAGCGTTTTTTGAGCGTTCACGATCTTTAGCCGACGATTTCATCCTTATTATTGACCCAAACGCTTTATAAATGCACATTTGTGACCTTCTTACGTCGAAAGGAATCGATTGAGCTAAAAAAACACGCATGTGAAATTTTGATTTTTGGCTGAAAATTTTCCAAAATTTTGTGTGTGCCGCAACAAACGTTTCCCAAACTGCAACAGTTTTGAAGAAATGCAATTTCTAACGAGCAAAACACCAAAGCGAAACTTTTCCTGAGCAAGAAGAACATTTTTTCGAAATTACCGGGTTTTTACGATACCAACGTTTGAGAAATAACTAAAAATGCCGCAACAATGACGACAAATCCAAATAAAATTAACATGTTCAGCAACAAATAGAAAAGTACGCTCATTCGCCAAAAACATACAAAAAGAAACGAAAAAATCCGAAACTCAAGCAAGCAAAAATAACATTTTCTGCCCGAATTTGTGGCCAAATTGCCTTGCATTGATTGATTTCATTGGCGCGATTGAAGCCCATAATGATGGAATTCAGGTTGTTCAGGCTTGGAGGAAAGCCTGATGATCAACACGTTTTCTCCGATCGATGGGTGTGTTTCGCATTAAGCCGCAGATAATCTACTGGGCGATTGCGACACACCATTCTTGGCTATCTTGTTTGTTTTTCCAATCATAAGCTAAGTCGCATTCTGCACATTCAATCCACCTGAAACCTTATCCCCAGGTGTGTGCAACTAATAAAATATGCGGCAATTTGTATCGAAGTGCGAAATAGACGAATCGTGCGTCATGTTGCAACGGAAATGGTGGGGGATTTTGTGCACGTGATGGCTGGAGGGTTGCCACCGAGTTGAAGAAGTTCTCAACATTCGAAACTTTCACCTGGCGCAACCATAAAAACCGGTGTCTGTGTGAGAGGATAAAAGCATGTGAATCACACTTTCGTACTGTTCCCATTTCAGTGCCACCATAGTGGATAATGTTACTCTTCAGTGTCTGGTTTCAGTAGTTTCAAATATCACGCAAATCTAAAACTTCTTGAATTCAAGCATTTTTTGAGAAAACTGCAACATTTCATTATCGATGGTTCACTTTCTAAGAAGGCCATTTAGTTCTCTCTAGAATGATGTACAAATGAGCGTTCTCGCTCATTTTAACCCCTCCGAGAAATGAGCAAAAACGGGACGGAAAACATGGAATTTTGGCATAATC